CGCCCCCTCCAGTCGGAGTCCGTCCAGATGCCGTTCCTTATCAGCCCGCCTGCCTCCCCCATTTCCTGCCGCTGATCGACCTCTCGCCCGCCCGTCCGTCCCTGTGCTGGTACCACCACTGTCGTCACGCCTCCACGAAGTCGTCTTACTCTGCCGACAACAGGGAGTCATCCAACCACCTGCACCGTGCAATGCCTTGTCAAAAGAACCAGCAGTAAGCTTTTGACTTGTGTTCCTCATCCGGGAAGCCGGGTTCCGAAGCTGTGACTGTTGCTCGCCGTCGTCCTCGGCCTTCTCTCTAGCTATCACGCCATCGACGTGAAGACTCATCCGTTGAACCCCTCACATCAAGATGGCCAGCGCCGCCGTCTACCGCTCGACCCGAGCAGCGCTGCCTCGGTGGCACGCCAGACCTCGCCAGATTGGTTTCACGGCCATCCGCCGTTCCTTCTCCTCCTACCTCGTCACCCCGAAAGAACTGCACGAGGCCTTGCAGAAGAACCCCCCGACCAAGATCAGCACCGATCCGCGAGTTGTCCCCGTCTGCGCCTCCTGGTTTCTTCCCAACGATGGAAGGACAGGCATCGACACGTTCCGCGAGCAGAGGATTCCCAAGGCGAAATTCTTTGACCTCGACAAGGTCATCGACCGCAACAGCCCCTACCCGCACATGCTGCCGTCCGGCAAGGACTTTGCCGCGACCATGAGCGAGCTCGGAATCCGCAAGGACGACACAGTCGTAGTGTACGACACGAAGGAACTGGGCATCTTCAGCGCGCCCCGTGTCGGCTGGACGTTCAAGATCTTCGGACACCCCAAGGTCCACGTCCTGAACAACTTCAAGCAATGGGTCGAGGAGGGCCTGCCCACCGAGTCGGGCGAGCTGTACTCTGTTGAGTGTTGCACCTACCAGATCCCCTCGCTGGACGAGAGCAAGGTGGCTGAATTTGAAGAGGTTCGCGAGGTCGCTCTTGACCACAACAAGGAGGGCGCCGAGGGCGTGCAGATTCTCGATGCTCGGTCACCCGGACGCTTCGCCGGCACGGATCCCGAGCCCCGCGAAGGCCTGTCGTCGGGACACATGCCCGGCGCTATCAACGTCCCCATTGGTGCTCTTCTCGACCCTCAGACGAAAGCATTCCTCTCGCCTGAGAAGTTGAGGCAGGTGTTCAAGGAGAAGGGTGTTGACCCTGAGAAGCCCATCATTTCGAGCTGTGGCACTGGTGTGACTGCCTGCGTCATTGAGACTGCCCTCGAGCAGGCACAATATGGATCTGTGGAGAAGCGCAAGGTCTATGATGGCAGCTGGACGTGAGTGGCTTGCATTCCAAACATCGAATATCTACTAACTCTATGCACAGCGAATGGGCCCAGCGTGTCTCGGCATCCGACTCGCTGATCAAGAAGAAGGAATAGGCTGGAGCTGGTGGTTTGATGGTTGCGCGCGATTGCGATACCCCGCTTTACCCCTCTCTTGGTTTTTTTGTACAACTTGGACGTCACGATATCCCGACTCATGGCTTCTGCGGTCTCTTCTTCACGACTGTTGCATATCTGGTGGCTTCGAGTGAATGCTTCTGGGAACGAATGCTTGCTTGTTTCAGTGACAGGACGTACATAGGGTAGTAGAGCAATGCACAATGACTTTGCGATCTGGCTTATGGGTCTGAACCTCTACAACGTTATGCTTATGACGAAAGCTCGGGAAATTGCGATCTCCATGTAGTCGTTATTCAATTGTCAGAGGAGATGCCAGCATGACGCCGTCATCCCGGCCCCCGGAAATAAACCTCGGTGTGAAGCTCACCGAGATGGTTGTCGGTGTGGCCACCGAAATGTAGTGGGGTCCCTGAAGCGCACCCCACCAGCACGTTGTGGCCTAAAAGTTGAGGCCGCACCCGCCAATCGAAGAATTAGGGCTCGCATCACCGAGCCACACCAATTTTTGCTGGCCGGGCAAACGAACGGGCCCCCGCAAAATTTCCGCGGCCCTGACCTCCTACTTCGAATTCGACCTCAGAACTCACCCACGCCCAACGAAACCGACGACAGCCCCCAAAAACATCGCCCTTGCGCCGACACGACTGTCACCCGACAACAACACAAGCGCAAACATGGCTGACCGTGGAACAAGCGCCCCTCGCGGCGGTGGTGGATTCGGAGCCCGTGGTGGTGATCGCGGTCGTGGCCGTGGCCGTGGCCGTGGACGTCGCGGCGGCAAGAACGAGGAGAAGGAGTGGCAGCCCGTCACCAAGCTCGGTCGTCTTGTGAAGGCCGGCAAGATCAGCTCCATTGAGGAGATCTACCTGCACTCTCTGCCCGTCAAGGAGTACCAGGTCGTCGATGCCTTCCTGCCCACCCTCAAGGACGAGGTCATGAAGGTGAGCCGCCACAGAACCACGCAGCAGGGCACAGCAATTTTGCTGCGGCCTGGTGAACATGACGGAACACAACCAAAGCACAGCAGCTAATCCGCCCTTCTTCCTCCCAACAGATCAAGCCCGTCCAGAAGCAGACCCGTGCCGGTCAGCGTACCCGTTTCAAGGCCATTGTCCTGATCGGTGACTCCAACGGCCACGTCGGTCTCGGCATCAAGACCTCCAAGGAGGTTGCCACCGCCATCCGCGCCGCCATCATCATCGCCAAGCTCAGCGTCATCCCCGTCCGTCGTGGTTTCTGGGGTACCAACCTTGGTCAGCCCCACTCCCTGCCCTGCAAGGAGTCCGGCAAGTGCGGTTCCGTTACCGTCCGTGTAAGTTGAAATCTCGAACAAGACGACCAGTCGAACCCAATTGGCAGCAAGAGCGGCAAACTGACAAGCGTTTCGCAGCTCATCCCCGCCCCCCGTGGTACCGGTGTCGTCGCCTCCCCCGCCGTCAAGCGTCTCCTGCAGCTTGCTGGTGTTGAGGATGCCTACACCTCGTCCGCTGGCTCCACCAAGACCCTCGAGAACACCCTGAAGGCCACCTTCGTCGCCGTCTCCAACACCTACGGCTTCCTGACGCCCAACCTGTGGAAGGAGACCAAGCTCATCCGCAGCCCGCTGGAGGAGTTCGCCGACACCCTGAGGGATGGCAAGAAGTACTAAGGAGGAGAGAAGGAGAAAGATGAGGGCAAAGAGCAAATGGGGAGCGGAATGGCTACGGGATTCTGTTCACCAGGGGAGTGGCGTTCTTATTTGCGCGTTTCCACTGCATCATCGGTTGGCCAGGGCATGAGATCATGGCTAGGGGCTAGCTCGGATCTGGAATAAAAGATCAAATGCATGACGCTTGGGAGCGGGTGCTCTCCTGGAATCGTGGTTTGACGACTTGAATGCGAATGCGACATGATGAGGCAGTGTGTTATCGATTGCAGAGGCAAGAGAAAGTGTATGAACGTGCACGGCTGTGGCTTACGTGATGAAGTAGACAACAGTTGACGACAATGTATGCCTTGGTAAGTAGAAGATGGTGATGATACTTGTCTACAACGTCACAGAACCTACCGATTGCCCTGCATCTTTACCACCCCTCACAGGTCGGCAGTATTCTACAAACTGCCAGCACAGCCTCTCATCACACCACCACTGGCTCGCGCGATGAGGATATGCAGAGTGACTGGACGCCACTCCACCCGCCACAGTGCCGCGGCCAACGGAAAGGCAGACTCGAGGCTGAAAACGTGACCGACAGACGAGCTGATCAGATCCTCGGTCTGAGGCAGCAGCATTCTTTCTCACGGTGTTCTTGTCATTTTTCATTTCGCCATCTCCTTTCGCACCATATCAGGGAATTGATGTTTGAACGCCCTTCACAAGGAGATCCTGGTTCTCACAAGCCCGGTACCCCCCCCCCTCACTGTGCCCGTCTGGTACGGAGTCGATGTTCTTCTTGTAACACTACCGACCTACCGTGGCTTCACGTTGTTTCTCGCGATGGCAGCAGCGCGGGCTCATATTGTCCCAGCAAACGGGTTGACAATACTTGTTGAGCCTGAGGTCTCCTCAATCGAGTAAGCTGAGAGCTTCCCTTATCAGTGCACACGACTTTGAATGTCGACGAGCGTCAATTCCTAAGAAGATGATGGATGAGTCTATCAGGATTGCCGGGTACGGCCGCTTGCTTCTTGATCACTCCTGGGCCCCTTGATTTTTATCTTCCATGATGCTCATGATACCCCAAGGATGTTGCTTACGCGGACGCACATGTGTAACCTGGGAGTTTCCGTACACGTAAAAAACTAACCAGCTTAGCATCGTATTCGTCCACGGATTTACCGGCCATCCCGAGCGCACTTGGCTCCAGAAATCGCCTTACACTTACCAGAAGCAAGCCAGCTTTGGAGCCAAGAACGTACGGTCTTCGATGTTTCGAGGCGTATTAGATAGCTTGAAAGGACGGCCAGAGAACAATGTTTACTGGCCCAGAGATTTGCTGCCCACTATTCTCCCTGACGCAAGAGTCCTGACATATGGGTACGATACGCGAATCAGCCATCCGTTCGGCCCGCAGAGAAGCCAGTCCGGGGTTTACGCCATCGCTCGGGACCTTTTATGTGAACTCGAGGGCAGGCGTCAATCTCCGGGTCGGCCAATTATATTCGTTGTCCACAGTCTTGGAGGTATTGTTGTGAAGGAGTTGTTGAAAGCATCCTCTGAGAGCCTTGACGAGCGCGCCTTCTTGAAGGACGTTCACGACTCAACGGCAGGGGTTTTGTTCTTCGGCACACCACATGCTGGTGCTGACCCACGAGGACTGGCGCACCACATTGTCCAATCGATCGCTAGAGCGATGCGGATCTCAGCCAATTCTCAGGTACTCGACACACTGCTGCCTTCTTCCGAACGACTTGAAGAGCTCAGAGATCATTTCAAGCCAATGGCTATTCGCCAAGATTGGTTAATATACTCCTTCCAGGAAGCTCTTCCGGTTCAGTTGCTGGGCAAGAAAGTGGTCGAAGACGTCTCGTCGTGCCTAGATATACCTCAGGAGATCAGGCAACACATCCATGCCAACCATATGGAGATGTGCCGCTTCCATGAGCTGGAAGACCCGCAATTTCAAAAAGTCAAGCATGCTCTGCGCAGGCTTGCCGAAGCCGCCTTGGCTCGAACACGAGCTACATCACCGGGTCCTCTTATGGAGTCGGACGCCACTGATCTCACGGAAGAGCAAAAGAAAGTCTTGATTCAGTCCTTGGCATTCGAGCAGCTAGATGCGCGCCAGGGCAGTATCAAAAAAGCACACGACAAGACATGTAGGTGGCTGCTTCAAAGAAAAGCCTACTTGGATTGGCTTGACTCTGAAAAGTTTGACCGTCATTATGGCTTCCTTTGGATTCAAGGCAAACCAGGTGTTGGAAAGTCTACGATCATGAAGTTCCTGTGTACTGAAATGAAGAACAGCTCGTGAGTCATCCCTGCTTAGAGTCAGTCTTGAATTATCTGCTTTTGAGTGCATGCTGACCACGGCTTAGTGAATCGGTCAAAATCATCATTACATTCTTCTTCAACGCAAGCGGTGATGATTTAGAGAGGTCGACATTGGGGATGTACAGATCTTTGCTCCTTCAACTCCTGGATGAGATCCCGTCACTTTGGGCAATCTTCAGTCAAATCTATAAGCTACGATGGCGAACAGCTGAACGCCATTGCTGGGATGTAGGTATCCTCCAAGAGCTTTTGGAAGCGGCTGTTGAACATTTGGAAAAACATTCGGTTACGTTCTTCATCGACGCCCTAGATGAATGCAAAGATTCCGATGTTCACGACACGATCGACTTCATGAGACGCATGAGCCAGAAAGCTATTCTATTCGGAAGCCAGGTGCGCACATGCTTCTCCAGCAGACATTATCCCATCATCACACTGGATAGAGGTATCGAGGTTGTCCTAGAAAACCAGAGTGGCCATGCCGAGGATATCAAGGAGTATATCGAAGCCAAACTCAAGCTCGGTACGTCACAAGCAGCGAAAGACTTCGGTTCGGAGGTACAACAAAAGGCAGCCGGAGTTTTCATGTGGGTCGTACTTGTTGTTCACATCTTGAATGATGCCCATGTTGGCGGCCAAGGTCGCATCCAGGAACTCAGAACGCGGCTTGACGTTTTGCCACGAGACTTGCACGATCTTTTCAGAAATATCCTCGACAGGAACAACACAAACTTGGAGCACCTTGCGCTTTGCCTCCAGTGGATTCTTTTCGCCAGACGACCGCTGACCCCTCCAGAGCTCTACTTTGCTCTCCATTGCGAAGGAAACACATTAGGGGGCCTCCAGTCTACGGCGTGGGATCGCGAGGATATCCCACTTGATATGATTGAGAGATTTGTTATCACTTCCTCAAAAGGTCTTGCGGAAATCAGACGATCCCGACGGCCAACTGTACAGTTCATTCATGAGTCTGTTCGAGATTTTTTGCTTAAAAGTCATGACATGATCAATATTTACAGTTCAGTACCCGACGAAGTGGGAGGGAGAAGTCAGGAAAGACTTGAAAAATGCTGCGCCAACTATATCGATCATGTCTTCAACTCGATTGAGATGAAGAACTTTATAGCCAAGGACTTGCCAGTAGCCCATACTACTACTGAGAGCCGGCTTCTTCGAGAAACTTGCGAGCGCATGTTCCCATTCTTGCGATATGCCGTTCAACACGTCTTTCACCATGCGGAAAAGGCTCAGCAGGCAGGGCTTCCGCAGAACGAATTTCTCCGAGACTTTCAGTTCCAGCACTGGCTCAGCGTACTCAATATCCTGTTGGGCCGCCAGACACGCCGTTACAAGCAGAGAGGTCTTGATTGCCTTTTGGCAGAAGGCAACCGGCCCGCACTACTCGAACTCGTTTGGGGCCATACTCATGCGCCCAGGCACGCATGCTTTGTCAACTCCGGCGCGCATTATCATTACGGCTCGCCACTCATGGTGGCCGTGGCCCGCGACAACAGAGACGTCTTGAGAAAGATACTCGATATGCAAGCTTCATACTGTGGCTTCGAGGATCTCATTCCTGACGTACAACGCGAATGCGACAACGCACCGTCTCCACTGGTTCCAGATGGGCGTGAATTCGACTTTCAACCTCACATGCGGAAGGCGGCGGGGAATGCACTGTTAGCTACATCGGATCTATTCGCCGCAACCTCCACGCTGTTGCAAATTTTCGCGGCTGTCTTGTGGCATTACCAAGACTTCTCGAGCCATGTAGATCACCTCATCCGGCATCTTCTGAGTAACAGAAATTCGCTTGCTCTGAAGGTTTTGTCCAGGAGCCCGAAACTTCGATCAAAGTCTGGTCACGTTTTCAGGGCAGGTACGCCGCATCTGGTAGAAGCCTGCATCTCGAATCACAAAAAGAAGGTAATCATGCTGCTAGAAGTCGATGCGCAGTTGGCCATGAGCAAAGACGACTCAGGCATCTGCACGTTGACCTATGCCTGTCGAGCAGGCTACCCTGAAGTCATCGCAGTAGTGCTCGAAGCGAGCAAGAGCGCGCGGTGTGATTCGATACAGGGTGGCGTTGATGCGCCCGACCATGCCGAGGAGCACCGGGCGTGTGAGGAGTTGGCGGAGCTTCTGGTGAAGCACAGCGATCATGACTTTTCAACGTCGAACATGTCCGCGCTCGCTTACTATGCCACCAAAGGGTCAGACGTCATGGTGGAAGCGTTATTGCGCAGCGGAGCCGCAGCAGACGCCACTCCATGGCAAGGAATTGATCCCCTGACCTGTGGCATCGAAGGAGGCCATACAGGCATCGTCAGATTATTACTCAATGCCGGAGCATCTGCGAATGCTCCGTCAAGATTTTGCCAGGCCCCCCTTGCACTGGCAGCCAGCCTAGGGCATGATACGATCGCAGCAGACTTGCTCGGCGCAGGAGCAGAGGTCAATCACCAGTCCATCGACGGTCGAACCGCACTTTCCCGTGCGGCCGAGAACGGCCACCACGCAATAGCTATCCAGCTGTCGCAGCGAGGAGCTGACGCAAGGCACGAGTCCGCATACGGGAGAAACGCACTTTCCTACGCTGCTGAGAATGGCCACGAGACGATCGTGGATCTCCTGCTCGTGGAACATGGCCACGACGCCATCTCAGGAGCAGATGCCACTCCGCAACACGCCAACTGTCCACAACTTGTTCCATCTCCCTCCCGGCAGTGTGCGTCCACGGAACTCAAAAGCCTCCTCACACCACTGCACTACGCGGCAGGAGCGTGCCACAGCGGCATCGTCGACCGACTGCTGAAGAGAGGAGCCGATGTCGAGTCCCGGAACGCCTGGTCGCAGACCCCACTGGTGTTCACCGCCGCAGCAGGCCATGCGAACTTTGATATCCTCTCCCTCGCCATGGGATCCACTCAGATGTCCTCTCCGCAGGACACTGCACGTTCCTCGCCGGCTGACAGTATCGGCTTTGCCCTCGCATCAACTCCAGAGATGGAATCGGGAACGGTCCCGGGTGGCGATGCCCTGACGTTGGAGGCCGAGGCCATTCGCTCGAGGCGCCTTCACACGGTCGAGCTTCTCCTTCTCCACGGAGCACTCATCGACAGCGCAGACTACGACGGCCATACGGCGGTGGCTTGGGCTGCTGCACGAGGTGACACGGAAATGCTCAAGCTTCTCATCGAGAGAGGCGTGTCGGCTGATGTGACGGACAATCTGGGGAGGACGCCTTTGATGCACGCCATCAGGTTTGGGCACGCCAAGGCCGTTGCCTTCCTGCTTCATACAGGCGAAGCTGCTGCTGCTGACCCGAAGGCGTTGGTCCCGGCAGCTGGACGGGAGGAAGCTGAAGACCGGCACTGAGTCGCGGCCCACCAGCACCCGGTCAGAATAGAGGCCTGCTCCTATGAAGACAGACCACATCAGTACAGACACTACAGTAGAGAGATCGACACGTTGGTACTCGTTTCAACATCCGAATCCCTCAAAGATCAGATGGTGGGGAATGAAGAAGATCATGTCCAACAGTCGCTACTAGAAGGTCGATCAACAGTCAATCCACAAGGCCGAACAAAACCCCCAACAGCGTACACTGCGGTCCCACCAGGGAAGTCGAAAAAAAGGGCATCCACGACTCGACATGTCCTCGCCACTACCAACTGCTTGATTCAGGCCACTCCGAAGCGAAGGTCTCCCTCCAGTCCCAGAGTCCTCAAACCCGGGCGTACCATGTACACCAAAACACTTCGCTACGTCTCTCCAGACACAGACAGCGTGCTGCTGGTCGCGCCCTTCGAGCACTCTCGTTCGTTGCCGCCCCACGCAACCGCGCAGCACAGCCTCCTTCGCCCCGGCCTCCCAATTGGCCCACGAGGGCCGTGACCAAGTCTTCTTCCCCCCCCGTCATCCGGGCGACCAGCACCGCACGGCATCCGCCAGCGCCTTTTTTTTTTTGTCTCTCTTTTCCTTGCCAAATACCGCATAGTACTGAACTCTCGATTGCCCCCCTGGTCCTTCATCTTGCTCGCCCGGCCGTCATCCTCGGCTTCGGCATCAGGCCTGGTGCAGTAGTGTACATGGTACCATCGAGAGGAGCACTACCCCTAGTGGAGACTTCGTCCGCGTCCACTTGGCAGAACAGTGGACAGTCGAAATACAAGGAGTTGTCTTGGCAAATCTCACGTGTCACTGGTGCTGCGTTAGCGCCAAAAGGGGAGGGAGGGACCCTTTTCACGTCGATCGCGGGCGTC